AGTGTTAAGTTCAACCAAACAGGCCAGAGTTTTTTTTACTGAGTAAATAAATTGTCAGAAAATGTCAACTAGAAGAAGATCAATGTTGCATTCCGTGCACTCTAAAGAACATTTTTGTCTAGCGGGACTTTTCTAAAAAAATGTGCTGCGGCTCAAGAAAGGTCTGGACAGTTCAGCAGTTTTTCTGACATCTTGAGATTCGGGGAGGATTCCTGATGCAAGAAATCTCAGAATTGCTATACATAGTGAGCTCTGATCTCCTACCGCCTCTACTCCTTTCCCTCCTCCCCCTCCTGCCGCTCAGTTACGTCACCACACTCCGTGTCTGCTGACTCAGTGACGTGCAAATCCTCTGTCATCCCTCCCTCACTGCCTCTGCGCTACAATGACTGAGGATTTCACAGATAATTCACCTTACTCCCCACGAGACCCCCCGCCCTCCTCCTCCTCCTGTTCTGATTCATCCTTACCAAAAAGAACCCTCTCTGAAGTGTCTTTGCTGCTTGCTGCAATTTAAAAAGAGAGGATTGAAAGAGGGTGGAGGTGGGAGGGGGGCTGGGTCCTACATCCTGGTGTCATGGCTGCTCCAGGGTGACCTTGTCCTGAGATCTTCATATGTGCAGTCGGCACTGACTCACAGACTGCTGACATGCAAACAACATGCAGTTTATTGTTTATATCTCATTTAGTTTGTGTAAATCTACGTCACTAGATACTTGATAAATTGTTTTTGTAAGAATAAAACAAGATCAACTACACCAGTGAAGTACAGACTATTCAACAAAAACTACCTGAGTTTGTTTTTGTCAAGTTTGAATTAGTTTAGTCCTCGCATGTCTTCCTTTTCTTTCCTCAGTATCTCTTTTTTTATTATTTCACTGCACATTTCTGTCCCATCGCACATCTTTGATGACTTTGATCTTATATCCTTTAATTGTTTTTGTGTTCTATGTTTGTTTGTTGTTTTTTTTTACTTTTTGCCAATGACAAAAACAGCGACTTCTGTTCTTTGTTCCTTTGGTTGCTTGAATGTGTAGCTGATGCTAATTTCCAAGGAATCTACAGCCAACGTAAAAAATAAAAATCTTTGTGATTATATACGTGATGATGAGATGATAAAAAATTTATAAATGTAAAATTAAATATTAAAACAAAAAAGTCAGGATATTAAAGGCAGCATGTGGTAAATAATAAAAATACAAACTAAATATAAACAACGGATAATATAAATGTTTAAAAAATAGCGCAGGGATAAAAACAGTGCACAATAAAAAATACAATAAAGGTACTCTAATGGGAGCATGTGTAAGAAAGAGATAAAATAAAAAGATATAAACATTGAGGAAATTACTTGCAATAATAGCACAACAATAAAAAACACAACAGAGAAACAATAAAGGTAATAAAAGCAGCAAATAAAATAAAAACCACACAAATTAGGCACATTTTATGTAATAGTGGTTCTAATACAGTCTATAAGGGAAATTGAGATCAGAACCAAATGCTGCTTTAATTAATTACACTGAACGTCCACAGGGGGGCCTGTAGTAAAAAAGAACAGCCTGTGGCCTGATGGAAGAGCATCGAGTTTGTTATCATAACATGGCAAGATCCCGCCGTGACCACATTCCCTTCCTCTCTGCTGGGTTGTTGGATTAAATACACAGGACACATTTCGTATATATATGCTATTAGAAAAAAAGGCATTATTTTTCTAATAGTCATAATCGCAGGTACTTCAAACGTGTTTTGCACAGAGTAATGACCTGACATTAAGTGAGTCTCGTTGGGTTAAATATAAGGTCCAAAAGTGAATGTTGCCCCGCAGAGACGAGGCCCCTCGTCCTCTTTAACCTCTACATCGTCATATTATCATGCTCCAATAATCTCTTTTATTCACCACACAAACATGCAGTGTATAGTGGGGGTCAAAACTGAACTGAGACACACACTCACACACCACAACAACTGTCAACAGGTGTGTATGATTTTGGGGTTTGTTTTGAAGCCCACAATGTTTGTACTTAAAGTTTATTTATCTATAGCCAATTAATGAAGCTATTTTATTAGTAATTAAGAAGCGACTATAACAAAAGTAATAGTAATAATTATTATTACTAATACTACTTGTTATTATTATTATTATTATCATTGATATTCTGGCAGAACGTTAAAATGTAAAAATCCTTTTGAGTCTGGCGGCACGTTTTGGAATTAAAAAAATACAATAAACGTACACTAGGTGGCAGAATTTATCCACGAAAAAAGTAAACCAGCAGGCTCCTGCTAGAACTTTCGATACGTTGAGCTTTGAAACAATTTTTGTTAAAATATATATATATTTATGTACATGGGAACGTCATTATTTAGAGTAAATACAGCAGTTACCATTTGCTGCGACATAACTTACATTAAAAAAGCATCAATAATAAACATACTACAACTACAATATTATAAATAAATAAAAATATTTTTCTCACCGAAACTTCTGATTAGTACACAACCTTTCGTTAAGATGAGTTCAGTTACTGTACTCTGTTCTGTTGTACTCATGTTTATTAGTTGTACACAACTTTTCGTTAAGATGAGTTCAGTTGCTGTACTCTGTTCTGTTGTACTCATGTTGTACATTTTAAATCGTTTTAAGCTGAGAAAACTTAATTTCCGACCATGCAAGTCGCTAGACACTAGCTTGCTATCTTCAAAACCGGATATTCTTTGACCGTCCAATCAAATTACTTAAATCGGTGACGCAACTACGGGTCAGCTAGAAGGCCAGTTTGATGCCAACTCTAAATCTGATTGGTTAAACAAACGACGTCATTATCATTCATTTTAGGCAACAAGTCTGAAGGCCTTAGGGCAGATTTGTTTCAGCCTGGCAACACGTGAGGTCGAAATATGATTGGCTAAAACAACTCGAGCATATGCAACAGGAAGTAGCGCAACCATGACACTAGCTAAGAACGAACGAATAAAAACGATGACGATAAAAACGAACGAATAAATGATGGTGAGAACAGAATACTCGGTATTATTTTCTAGATATTCATGATAAATATATTGAAAGATAAGTTACTGAGTCTAATACAGTTTAATACCTTGACGGTACGCTGTCAGAATTCCGTAAGTTTGTAGTCCAACACTGTCGTTTGTTCGCTTTTGTTTTCTTTGTTCTATTTGATCTATATTTTTCCTGCCGACGCAGTATAGATTTAAAATAACTAACGAAGTCATTAAGCTTCATTTTAAATATATTTAATTTTGTCATTTTAAATGTTGCCACTGGATGTCGCCCAAAAGTCTAAAATCTCTCAACCCGAAACTGAAATGGTCACATGACTCTTTCAAATACGTCCACAATTTTATGTGCTTTTAAAGAGTATGGTCAGTGTAACCACATGTGAACCTATTGGACAGGCCAAGTGTTCTATGAACATAAAAACAGAGGTTTTTCCTTTTTATAGTGGAGTAAAATGACAAAATTACTGCTGGTCTAAGTTGGAAACTGAAGGATCGTAGTTGGTCTGTTTTTTGGTTATAGTACGATTTAGAAGATGAACTTTCTTCTTAAACACCAGTTCAATGATGATTCAGAAAGGCTGTGCAAATATAAATAGCTGCCGTCATGGCTCCCGTACAGTAAGAATTGAGGGTATCACTGTAACGGAGGACTGGCAGTTAAAAATAGTCTTGACTGCTGCTCACAAGTGTTGAGTTAAGGACATGCGTTCTCAAGAAACCTATAAAAGGTGTCGTGGGCTTTTCAGTGTGATTCTTCAGTGAATTCACTTATTTGATTTCAGTGAATTCACAGAATTATTTCACACAGCTGTTTTGTTTCTGCTGACAGGAATATTTGGTAAAAATTAGCAGGTGGGATTTGTTTGTGTTGCTGCAAAAAGTAAAATCTTGTGATGTGTCATTTAGATGCTGTTTAATACTTAAGATCCTCAATTTTTTAAAATATAAATCCCTACAAAAAATTAGAATTTGAATGCACAATTACATATTTGGATTTTAGACTTAAATTATTGGGGGGAAAAAATGTTTACTGCAGCAGGTGGCGCAGATGAAAAAGAAACATTTTATTAAATAATCAGCTATAGAAGCACACTCTTCTTCTCCAAAATGCAGAATGAGAGCAAAATTTGGGGGTGAATGCTATATATAGTCTTAAGTGCCTCCTTACATGGGGAGGAAGGGGCAACAGCATTCCTCCAGTGAGAGGGTAATATTTTTGTTACCATCAGCAAGTGCTTCCCAAGCGGCATCAGGCTGGTCTGCCACCGCTTTGCGCTGTTTTAATCTCTTGGGGTAAGTCAGTCTTTCCTAATGTTTGTTGTCCACCGGGCTTATTATCAGTGATTTGCTTTTTATCGAAGATTAACTTTTGCACAGCCTGTGTCAGAGCAGGGGTGTGATCAGGGAGCCATCAGTGGTGGCAGAAGTTGAAGGAGTCTCTGTAGGGTAGATAATCTGTCCACTGTGTGGGGTAAACGACATCATGTCTGTCTGCCGTGATCTCCCTCAATGCTCCTTTCCTACATACCAAGGGCATTAGAAGGTTGCTGACCCTCTTATTCTAATTAGTCGCCATCAACAGACAGATATTTAAAAACAGTTTCTGCCGTGAAATAATTGATCACACTGCTGTAATGAGTCTCAGAGGACAGAGTTTAGGGAACGACGGCTGTTTGAGAAAAGAGTGCGGTTCGTTTTAGGACAGTCTGGTCAGAATCTTTTACCTCAGTGGATTTTATTTTATTGATGTCACGTTTGTTTGCTGCTCTTATTGACTCTATTCCTCCATTACTTGAATCATGGGCTCGGCCGCAAGCTATTCATAGCAGAGCCGTTTGAGGCTGTAAGGTGAAACACTGGAAGTGCTGAGCTCTGGCAAAGGGGAGGAACCGTCTTCATGTCTCCTGAAACTTGGTCCTTGACTTTGTCTTTCTGTGAGAGAAAAAAATGCATTTCTGTTCATTTAAACATCTGTGTGTTAACTTTAAGATGGAAGACAACTGATTTGTAGCAGTTGCTCTGAGATTGTTCTTTTTTTTTTCCCCCTTAACTTTGGTTCAGAGGCAGAAGGTTGATCATTTTTTCATCAATTTGACCAAACTTTGTGGTGGAGATCATTTCACCTATAAATAATGAGGTTGACAACTTTATTTTCAGTCAGAGAGGCAGGGGCCAGCAGCAGTGATATTTCTGGTTGCCAACAGTATAGTTGCAAATGTAGCCGACTTAAATGTGAAAGTAACAGTGTGCTGTTTTCAGATGCCACTTTGATATATTCAGATTAAAAACAAAATATTATATTAGATGGTACGGTAGAATAAGTCCTAGATGGACAATCCCAGTCTCGATAAAATCAGATATTCGTGTACCTGTGGTTTTCATCCCATATTATTTACCAATGGCGAGTCCATTGCTTTTCCTTCTTGTATGTGATGACGGCATAAAGTTTGCTACCAAAGTCAATGATGCAACATTTCAGTAGATATCGTAAAGAATAATCCCTAGATCTGAGTAGATAACCTAGATTGGTGTCAAATGAGTTGTGAATTAAAATTTACTTCAAGTTTTGCTTAACTTCCATTTAACATTATGATCCCATTTAGAGGAAAACAGAACACCGTTGCAATGGCAACACCATATCCATTAGTTAGCCACTTAGCTTGCTGCCTTGGTGAATTAGCACTCACAGTGGTTAAAGGAGGTAGAAGGAGTTACATAAAGGTCACTAACACATGTGTGGTCTCTCTGCTCCCCCTGCCCCCTGGTGGTCTTGACCAGGTCTCCTTGAAGCGTTCCAGTCATGGCTCCCAAAGTCATACCGTGGTATAAGAGGAAGTGTGTGTGTCAAGTCCAAACCGATTATGCCTTTCAGCACTCTAAACGTGTCCTCAGGCAGCAGCGTGCAGAAAGGTACGAAGGTGCGGCTGACCTGCGGCTTTGGAAGAGGGCGGCTTCTGCTGCTTATAGAGCATACGCTGTAGTGACGCCGCCGCCGCTGCTGGGGGGGAGTGCAGTACCTGAGCATGGAGGAAGCTCCTGTATTGATAAACAATCATCTGATGAGGATGTGATTGAAAAAAAAACAAGAGTATATATATAAATCATGATGAGGTTTGATTTTGCAGGTCCAAAAAATATATTTTAACTAGTGTTTTAACTTTTCATTTTCTGCTCCTATAAATAACACCAATGTCTGTAGCATTATTTTTTTTTTTTTTTATTTGAAAAAGTAATAATGACAAGTGACAATTCTGAAGGAAGAGTCAAGTTTGTGGCTTTTCGTTGAAGACCAGTGACAAAGTTGTTTTTTTTTTTTTTTTTTTTTTAGTCGGACAAAAACAAAAACACAAACATTTTTAATTTTCTATTGCTAAGAGTATGCACTCTTATGAAACATAAATGTTTTTATGAAGCCGTTTCTAAATGGTTAAATGTAGTTTTACCTGATGTTGGTGCTGACAGTTCTCATATCAGTGATATGACTGCTGAAAAATCAGCATTTTATTTACAATTCACCCAAAATCTCAGGAGACGTAGCTCAATGTTTGCTCATATCATTGTAGTGTCATAGAGGTCATCACCGTTACTTGCTGAATGTGACCTCAGCAGCACTCTAACTCTGTTAGTTCTGAGCCTGTAGAGCTAAAGGCTGAGCACTGGCTCAGCCATGTTGTGTAACCCACTGCCTAATATCAGAGAATGCATAACTTTGCCACACACCCCCACACCCCCGCCCAGTATTACACCTCTTGACCTGACCTACTGATCTAAGGCCAGGGTCAGAGACACCGGCTCTGGTTCAACCTTTGACCAGTTTGAAGAAAAACACGGATCTATCAGTGCTTAAATTTGAACATGTTTTTCAATATGATTCTTCAGGTTATATTTAGATGAAATTATCCCAACGCTTTACAAAGGATTTGCTGGAAAAACCAATGACGGTACTGCATTTCAAAGGAGTCAGTAACTGACTGTAATCAAAGTGAATATTTGAGGAAAATATTGATCACATTGGCCAAAAAACATTTGTTTGGTAAATGTAATCAAAACACCAGGGAGGAAACGTTCTCCAACAACTCCATCACTGATCAATGGTCACTGATTGACATTGTACATTAAAACCAAAGTTCAGTCACCTGTACATTTTTACACGATTGATTTGTCTATGGTATAAATCGAACCGATTTATACCATAGACGTGAAGAGAATGAGGACAATGACTTTTGACTTCAAAGATCGTGGATTTAAATTTTTATTTCTATGTAAAAAATAGTGGAGTCCATTGAATTTATTTGATTGATTTGACTTGACTTGGATGTAAACTGTAAACTCTTTAGGTCAGCGAGTAAATTTGTAAAAGAAGGATCCATGCTATTTTGTAAACTCGTGTGATCTCACCGTAGGTAGGTAGGTCCATTTTGTGATCTCATGTGTGATCTCACCGTAGGTAGGTAGGTCTCGTAACAAGTGTGTTTTCCTGATCACTGCTGTACATCAGTAGCTGCCGTTGGCCTGTAGATAGACCCTGCTGTTTCTAACTTGTATCGTACTAACCCTAACCTCATGTGGTCCGTGATGGATTTGAGATTTTAGAACACAAAGTGCTTCTGTAAAACCCAAATCCAAACGGTTCCCTGGAACTGTCCTTTCATGGCTGTTTAATGAGACCGGACTTTCTCATCAGTAGGAAATCAAACAGTAACGTTTGCGTGTGCCAGGAGAAGGCCCAGGCCACAGAGGCTATGGCGGAACCAGCCTATATCATACCGGCCTTTCGGCAGAGGTGAGTTACCATTGGCTATTTTAGGTGTAAGGTAATACTGAACTGCAGCTCCTCCCAGCTGACCTCAGTTAAATGGTTTATTTCTTAAAGGAACGAGTAAAGGTTTTATTAGTAGTTCAGTGTTTTTACGTAAAGATTTGAATGAAGTCAGTCTTCAGATACACACAAATATTGAACGTTATTTCCATCAGTACGATATAGTATACTGTACTTAAGTCAGTTAATGATATCGGCTTTATCTGCCTTGTTCTAGAAAACCTAAAAAGTTTAGTTTATCGGTCCAGTCTCATCTCTGCTTTGTAAAACCCAACCTACAACTAGCAACCTATTGAGGGCGCTAATGCTCCCCCTAAATCCGCTCTTATCTTCTACTGTAAATAAATAAATAAAGAAATATTCGTAGTCGTGTCAAATCATTCTCTGATGTCTTGCAGGAGTTCTGAGGAGACAGAGGAATACCAGAGAGTGGCCACAAAGGTTGGCAAAGGACTGGCTGTGATTCAGGAGGAGCTGCACAGGATGAGGATTGTTACCAAGGCTCAGGTGGAGAGTTTGGAGATCCAGAGAGAGGTGAGAAGCCACAGAGATGGTCTTTAACTTCTAACCTTTTTTCACAAACCACCCATGTCGTATCTACATAATCCTGGTTTAGATATTTAATGCAAACCAACCGGTCTGCCAATCACACGTCTTCTTCCTTAAAAACCCCTTGCCATTTATGCAGTTTAATGCTGTTGCTTCAAATACTTGGTCGCAAAGAAGGTGATACTAGTAATTGTGTGCACCTGCCTAAAACTTTAGTAGTTTAGAGTATTGTATTTCACAGATATGCAGATGACACCTGAGTATACACTTTTTTTCTGGACGGTCTCAATATGACTAGCAAACAGTCAAATATTTTCAAATAGTAGAATAGTAATAACTAAATATGAGTTTTTGTAAAGTTTTAAATTAAAAAAAATTCATTCAAAGTCATCACTGTGATCCACGTGTCCCTCCAGGCTCGGAGCATGAGGAAGAGAAGAGTGGATTTGTTAGATGACATCCCCAAGATGCCAGACTTCCTGGTGGCGCTGCGGCCTCACACCGTGTGGGAGAAGACTCCGGTCAAACTCTTCTGCACCGTGGAGGGAAACCCCAGACCAATTGTCAAATGGTCAGAATATTCATATTCATATTAAAGAGATAAAAGTGTCTGTGTATCATGTGAGATGTACAAAAGTATAAAAATGGAACTTCAAACAGAGATTAGATTTGGAATGATTTCTGAAGAACTTCAAACTTCAAAACTTCAGAGATTAGATTTGGAATGATTTCTGACGCCATTGTTAAGTGCACTCAAATGTGATGATTGTTGACAGGTATAAGGGAGGAGTGCCCGTCGACCCACTGAACGCTCCAGGAAAATACAAGATTGAAAACAAGTATGGAGTCCACGGTTTGATCATCAGCAGGTAGGATTGTCTCCACGACGCCACTCAGAGTTAGAGATCGGCCCACTGCTCTGTACGACGTCTAAAACTACGACTTCTCAGCTGTTCATGTTGAAGTGCTGACCTTTGCGTCATTCAACCCCTGCCTCCCCTGACTCCCCCCATCCCCCCTCTCCTCCTCTGAGGCTCTGTCCTTCACTCACTCTGGGAAGGCCTTGAATCTCTGTCCTTCATTTTGATAGTACAGGCATAACTTTGCGAATGTTGATTTTCTCTGTAAGACATTGACGTGATCGTCCACGTCAGCTGTAGAGAACATCTGTGGTTTGTCTTCGCACAGCTGAGAAAATGAGCTCCTCTAAAATAGTTCTGTCCTGAGTGAAGGTCACATTTCTTCCTTCTATTCTCACCCTCAGACGCAGCACTGAGCCACTGCTGCGTCTCACTGCTGCGTCTGTTCAGTGAGATCATTTTTTAAAAGCGGAGTTTACAGCTGACTGTGGAGAACCAATGAGACGTGGTGGAGCACAGAAAGACCATAACTGCGCCATAGTTAACGTGCATGTTTGTCACTCCAAAATGATCAATACTGATCAATAACTACCTCAGGGAAACAGTGAGAATAAAGTAAGCAAGCAAACATACGGCCCGTGGGCTGAAACTGGTCCACTTGATGAATTTTGAAAATTAAAAAAAAATACCCAATCACATCAGGAAATGTTTTATAAAATTATATTTTAATAACATTAAATATGAAGATTTATTTAATGTACTTCTGTGTGTGAAAACAAATAGTAAAAAGACAGACTTTTTGTTATTTATAGGTGATTCTGTTTAGGGAGGGAAATGATGAATTATACCAATCATCACCTTCAGAATTAGAGGCCTTTCTCTAACATTTTTCAAGATTTTTCCAACAATTTTCTTACTTTTTCGTTCCCCGAAATCCTACACAGAGAAACGTCGGTGAAACAAACACCTGTTTTTTTGGGTTTTTTTTCTCTCCCCCAGGTGTATGGTGAGTGATACGGCTGAGTACAGCGCGGTGGCCACCAACCAGCACGGCACCGCCACCAGCAAGGCCACAATCATTGTCAAGAGTGAGTGACTTTGTGACTCGTTATCTTGAATCGTTAGGGCACTTCAGACTAATCACCTCTTCACTGACGACGTTGATCTCTGTTCTTCACAGGACCTCAGGGATTCTCAGAGTCCAGTCATCTTGGACTGGGTGAGTCAGGATATCAAGATAACGTGGCTGGAAATAGAAGGGCATGTGAGAAGGGAGATAAACAGTGGAAACGAAAACAACAAATCTGTTACAGTTGACAAACACAAGAAAAGTCCAAAATTAAAAATTAAAAAGTGTTAAAAATGTAATTTAGCACACATCCTACCTAGTTTTTAAAGGAACAAGGTTCTAATCAGAGGATTGCGGTTTGAATCCTGGACTTACTTGTGTTGAGCAAACGCCCCCTACTGGCATTACCTCTGTACTGCCCTTAACCTGTCACCAACAAATGCTAGCAGATTATCCTCAGTCGTCATTTTGTCAGTCGGATCAAAGTCAAATCAGTAAAAATCCATAGTTAATCCAATAGTTTTCCGCAGCTGAGTTTTGACCTCTGTGACCTCCAGTCTTTTGCACTGTGATGGATAAATTGTAGTTTTCCGCAGCTGAGGTTTGACCTCTGTGACCTCCAGTCTTTTGTTCCGCTGCTCTCCAGTTCCTCATCTGACTGACATCCATCCCAGTAAGCTGGAGGTCTCGCTGCTCGACCGTTTCCGTGTCAGCTTTGGTGTGGAGGGCGCCTCATCACCCTGGTGTGTACCATGGTGGTGGTGCCCGACCTCCCCAACATCCCACCCTTCGTCCAGTGGTACAGAGACGGTAAGACGTGGCTGCAGTGATCTTTGTTTTGTGATCTTTTTTTTTTTTTTTTTAACCCTTCTACTATTTTTTTCCGCAATTTTTGTAGATAAACTGTTGAAAAACAGCAAGCTGGTAGAGATGGCCGTGGGTGGAGGTTCTGCCCGTCTCACGCTGCCCCACCTAGCCAAAGATGACGAGGGTCTTTACACCATTCGCATCTTTACCAAGGACGGTACAGCTGAGCACAGTGCCTACCTGTTCGTCTCAGGTACAGAAACAATCGTCATCATCGGGAAGAGTGTTTTTTTTCCTTCATTAAATATCTTTAAAATCTTCAAAAATCCTCCATTTTCTTGGTCCACAGATGCCGCTCCCTCTGTAGCCGGGGCCCCTGGTGCGCCAATGAGCGTCAAGGCCTATGATGTCAACCAGGACTACGTCTTGGTTGCCTGGAAACCCCCCAACACCGTCAACGAGGCGCCAATCACCGGATACTTCGTAGACCGGTGAGTGTGCACACTTACGAACTCTTCAGCTCTTCTTTTTTTAGACCAGGGATGGCAGCGGGTTAGCATGATTCCAGTCACATTAGACTGGACTCTAAAGTATTTAAAGGTGCAGTTATTGGTATTTCATTTATTGGTAGATGGCGAAATATCAAATAGTTGAAATTTATTTAATCAATTGGTTTAAAAATGAAACACTAAATTATATTTGTTGGCAACCTTGACATCATTTTTCTCACTTTTGTCCTTCACCAATCCTTCTGTCGGTCCAGCTGTGAGGCCGGCAGCGACACCTGGGTCCAGTGCAACGACTCCCCAGTGAAGGTTTGCAAATATCCGGCACATGGGCTGAGCGTGGGCCACTCCTACCACTTCAGGGTCAGGGCTGTGAACAGCGCCGGCATCAGCAGAGCGTCACGCAAGTCCGACAAAGTGACCACGCTGGACCCCGCGGAGAGTGAGAGGCTGCAAGGTACCGAAGAAGGTAAACACAAAATGAACCCAGAGTCGGCAAACAGAAGTTTCCTGATGGTTGTGCTGCTGTTGTTTTCCTACAACAGTGATTAAAATAGGAGGGAAATACGACATAGTGATCAAGGATGATGACCTGGAAGGTACAGTAGAGGAGAAGAACTGGTCTGAGTTCAGATTACACTCTGTCTAATCCCTAAAACAACTTCACTCCATGTCGTCCCCTCATGACTTAACAACAATCCCCGTTCACAACAGCCGTCATTATAACACGAAGACTGTGTTCCTTTATAACAAAAATCTCTAATCAAACTATAGATTTACCTCATAACTTACAAAACAGAAAAAACTTTAAGAAAAAAAACAGAAAAAAAAACATTGTGTGTTTTTGTCTGTGTTTGTGTCTGATATTAATACTTTGCGTCGTTACCACCGTAGTGAACTAGGTAGTATTTTCCACATATTTTCCCTCGTCCTAACTGTTTGCGTTTTTATCCCATTAATCACTTTCTAAAATCTTCAGCCCGTCACGTCTAACGCAAAAAAAACAAAAAACAAAAACGTACCACTTTCTAAAATGTTTAACTTTTACAGAAGTCCCACATTGACCTGCATAGTGTTTATTATAATAATCACAATATTTCATTTTATTTTTCTCAACTAAATACACAACTGTCATAGACTTTGTTTGAAAAAATCTGAAACATTATGTTTAATTTTTTAGGGTAAAAAAAAATTAAGAATTATTGAAGTTTTAAATACTTTCAGTTCAACTGCAAAGTTACATTAAATCTTCAAGTACTGTGGTGAGAATATTACAACATGGCGCCACTGTTCTCTTAAATCCAATTGCAGAATGTGTCAGTAGGAGCGCCCTCTGCTGGATCACCACCAAACTATTGCTATCTTTTCATCTTTCTAGAAAAAAAAAATCAAGTATGTGTTGAGATACTGTGACAGTGTCTCCTCACGTTCGGTCCAATGCTACGTCAGGTCAAATTTGGGACTTCCACAGTCGCCTCCGTATTTGCGTGTTTTGTTCTTCCTGACGATTGAATCCCAATCCAGGCTACGTAACTCTGCCCGGGGAGCCCACCGAGGTGCATGCTTCAGAGATTTTCAGGTCTTATGTTGTGCTGAGCTGGAAGCCCCCGACCCCCCGCGGACGGGCTCCGCTGTGGTACGTCATCGAGAAGGTGTGTGTGCTGCCTCCTGCCTCTCAAAAAAAATTAAATTAAATTTAAACAAAAAAAGAGCACAATTATCGTCGAATAATCCTTAATGTTTAATTATTTTTAATGTAATTTGAGGTTATTGATAAATTTCATGTAATTGTGTTTGCATTGTTGGGCTCTATTTTATTAGCGTATTTAAAAAAACAATTTTTTAGTGTATGCAAAACAAATTTATTTACGATGTCACATAATTGAAGAAAAACAGCTCTGCATCTTTTTCATTGCATTACTGCCCCCTGCTGGCTCTATTTTCATTTTCTGACCACTCCAACAAATAACGTAAGAAAGAGTAAATGCAGACAGATGGCAGTATTGCTGCAGATAAACACACTTCCATGAAGGTCAAACTTGTTGTCCTTCTTACTTTCCTCCCTCCCTCCGCCCCTGCCTCCCCCCCTTCCCCCCCAACCTTCCCCCAGTGCTTAGCAGGCACAGGAGCTTGGCAGCGGATAACCCCGGCAGCTAGCAGGCACTGGAGCTTGGCAGCGGATCAACACGGCAGTCAAACTGCTCTCCCCCCGTTACCCGGTTTTCGATTTGCAGGACGGGCAAAAGTACCAGTTCCGAGTGTATTCAGTGAACATGTACGGCTCCAGCGAGGCCTCGGTGCCCTCTGAGCCCGTCCAGAAGGTGGACATGGACGGTAAGGTCCACCGTCAGCTCCACGGCTACAGATACAACTATTTTTTTTTTCTGCATCAAAATAGAAGAGAGAAAAAAAATGAAACAAATCAAATCACAAAAACTGATAAAAAAAAACAAAAAAACCTGTTAAATAGTCGGTGTTTAATTTAATAAATACAGTCTTCTAAAATGTAATAACCTCACTGTTTTTATGAGGTAAAGTTATTTGTTAAAAAACCAAAAATTATTCCGTTACTCGTTTATTTTTCTAACATAAAAATGGAGATGAAGTGAGACGTTTTTTATGTGTAAACACCTCGAAGAACCATGGTATTTAAAGTCACATGACGTGACACAGTCAATCTGCTTCTGTTCATTATGAGTTGCTCTGCTTCGCAGGTGTTGAACACTCTGTCGGTACGTACACACACTGGGAGCAAAATTCACCAAATTCACCCTTCACTTTTCCACCTTTCCTTTCTTTCTTTTTTTTAACTCAACAACACTGAAAGTCCAGTTTTGACCTTTGACCCCCCACACTGTGTATGTGTTTCTGATTCACGTTGTGGTTGTTTTATCTGTCGTCCACTCAAACACGGTTGATGATCCACACTTCACGACAAACACCGTCTGATTTCTGCTCTGAACGACTGCACAGATTTTGTTTCTTGACTTGAACCCAGGGGACTTGGACACGGACTTGTGCACTGACTGCACCTGTGCACAAATATTAAGGATGATGACACTGTTCTGCACCGTGTGTGTGTGTGTGTATGTGTGTGTGAGACACATGGTGTTGTTTTTTTTTCTTTGACCACAACAATATTTAAAAGAAGCTCTCAATCTGTTTTACCCCCATCACCTGAGCTTTGACCTTTTCCCATCATTTTGTGATGAGTGATGAGTATCTAACTCCGGCTCTTCTGATCCTCCAGGCGTTCCCTCTGCTCCTGGTCAGGTCGTTGCCACCAGGAACACCAAGTCCTCCGTCTTTGTCCAGTGGCAGGCGTCCAAACACGCCAAAAACATCATGGGATATTACATCGACGCCCGCGTGGTGGGATCGAAGGAGTGGTTCCCCTGCAACCACAAACCCTTCAGACACACCAGGTAGACTACGGGAGGGGGGGAGGCATGGTTGGGGGGGTGTGATTTTGGCAGTTTGTTTTTTCGTTTGTTTGCTCCGTCGTCGGGATGACAGTTTAAAATAACGATGTCTGTCAGGTTCGTGGTCCACGGCCTGGTCCCAGGTGAGACCTACGTGTTCCGCGTCCAGGCTGTCAACGTCTACGGCCTCAGTGAGGAGTCGCAGGAGTCCTCCCCCATCGCTGTGGAGCCGGCCCTCGGTGAGAACAACACTGAAAATCACAACACAGTTTCCTGTCTAGATCGGTTAGAAAAACTGAAAAAAAAAAACAAGTCAGAATATAAACAAAAACCTGAACTTGTTTTTTGGGGTTATTTATTGTGCAGGTGGGGGGGTGGAGTTTGGTATGTATCGTATTACTTTGTTTTGTATTTTTTTATCACTTCCTTCACTTGGTGCTGTGTGTGTTGTTCATTATCACTGGCATTGAACACAGTAACACAATGTACTGCTCACTTTTCTCACTGTAAATATCACTTGAAAAAAATGGTGGTCAGTAAAAATCAGTGATGTTTCAGGGCAGAGTTATTTTTAGTATTAATGACACAGAAGTATTGAACCAACTGCTAACAGTTTAACAGAGACTCTGTCCTGCACTTACTGATCAAAATCACTTTTTTAAAAAAAAATGTATGTCACTTAACAGTTTTTATTTCACAATTTTTTTTAAAATTGTTTTTCAAGTTATTTTGTAAATTCCACCAAATCCCATACAGAAATTACCGCATACATCTAGTTAGTCAAGTTGTCACTTTTACCACCAGAGGTCGCAGTAGTGTACCAGCTCATGTCTGCAGTAATGATTAACAACATTTTTATCTCTATAGAATTTATTTGGAAAGATAAGAAATCACTAAGTAATTATTGGATTTTTTTTTTAAATTGCTGAAATATTTTTGATGGTCTTTTATTTATGAGACACTTCTTTATTCGATCACACTTCAAAAGCAAAACACTCAAAAACAAAACAAAATTAAACTTGTAATTCTAAATGACTCCGTGTGATTTCAGCCACTCCCACTGCTCCCTATGGAATCAGCCTGCTGAGCAGTGACGGCTCCTCCATGACCGTGGGCTGGAAGAGTCCCAAACACTGCGGCGGCTCCAAGGTCAACGCCTACTACATCGACCACCGCAACGCCGACACCCTGGTCTGGAAGGAGGTGAACTTGGCACCAATCACAGAGAGAGTTTACACCGTAAGTCACGTGAACAGGGATTTCTGGTTGGAATTTATCTCTGTTTCTGTGAAGATGATTCGTAATCATGTCGTACTTCTTATCTCCTTCTTCTTTTAGGTCCAGAACCTGACTCTTCTCCTTCTTCTTCTTTTAGGTCCAGAACCTGACTGAGGGAACCTTCTACGAGTTCAAGGTCCAGGCTGCCAACATGGCAGGTGTGGGTCTGCCATCAGACCCCAGTGCACCAATGAAATGCGAGAAATGGACTTTTGACGAGCCAGGTATGAGATGAGGTTTAAGGATGGTCTTTTTTCCGCTGTCTGTAGTCCTGCTTGTTGTTAATGAATATTTGACCTCTCAGGCCCAGCTCATGACCTGACCTTCAGTGAGGTCAGAGCTAACTCCCTGGTCCTCCTGTGGAAGGCCCCAGTCTACGCCGGTGCCAGTGTTGTCAGCGGATACTTCGTGGACATGGCCAAGAAGGGTTCTTCAGACTTTGTTACTCTGAACCAGGAAACTGTCAGCCACCGTTACCTGCAGGTACCGGCCCGGTCTTGACTTTTGTTTTCAGCTCCTGTTTACAAGTAAAAACGTTATCAGTGTTGTCCTGCTCTGATGTTTGACCCCTGTGACCTCCAGGTGACGGGTTTGGAGGAGGGACAAAGCTACGTGTTCAGGGTCCGTGCCGTCAACGACAACGGTGTTGGAAAACCTTCTCTGGTCTCTGAGCCCGTCTGTGCCCGAGTTCTCCCAGGTAAAACTTAAGGAAATTCTTTAAAAAAATAAAGGATAGGAGTCGGATGTTTCCAGAATTCCAGTCTTTCAGCGTTTAGATTTACTAGAATCAGTAAATATAATGTTTTTTAAAGAAGATTTTAGGGAACACTAAACTGTCAATTTTATCTGTAAAGTTTTATACATTCCATGCAATATATGATAATAGTTCTGACCGAGTCCTTTTCAATAATATTGAGTGGGAGTAACCAACAGAGGGCGCTGTATCAAACGTATTTTCTGTATTGGTTTTCAAATATTTCCACTTATTTCCATTTCCCTTGTCCTTTTTAAATTGCTCTTCGACTGTAATACCAACAGTGTCCACCGTGGGTTTATTATTACATTACAATGTTTTTACAGGAACTCACCTTGGACCATTTAAACCCTTCTTTGTGTTCTAATAATGAATGTAATTGTACAATCCTTTTGTTTTTAATCACCACAGGCACCAAAGAGATCATGGCTGGAGTGGATGAGGAGACTGGGGACGTCTTCCTGTCCCTGGAGGCCTGTGAGGTCGCTGAGACCTCCACCTTCGAGTGGTCAAAGAACTACAAGCTCATCGGCGACTGCCCCAGGGTCCAAGTGACGGCAAAGGGCAGAACGTAATCAAAACTGTTTTTATTGGGGGTTTTTTTTCCGCACGACTCGTTCCCAGTGAAACCCCGACTGTGAAAACTCTCTCTCTCTCTCTGTCTGTTTGTTTGTTTTACTCCTGGTTTTTATTGTCTCTTCAGCTCCAAGCTGACGTTCACCACGACTGTGAAAACTCTCTCTGTCTGTTTGTTTGTTTTACTCCTGGTTTTTATTGTCTCTTCAGCTCCAAGCTGACGTTCACCAACCCTGACAAGGATGATCTGGGCAGATACTCTGTGGTGGTCACCGACACAGATGGAGTCTCTGCCAGTCACACACTGACGGAGGACGGTACGGCGTCAGGTTTTATCACCAGTCAAGGTCCATCCATTATCATTATCACTGCTGGTCCACGTTACGCTCATGTTTTGTCTGTGTTTCTTCTGCAGCTCTGAACACCATGCTGGAGCTCAGCCATGCCATCAGACACCCCAGTGAGTCCAAGAACAATGTTCCATCCATTAGTGACACAGTGAAAACACTGCTGTTCTTTTCTTTCTTTTTTTGCACACAGTGAAAACACTGCTGTTCTTTTTTTTTTGTACATATATCGAGGAACTGTTTTTCTGTCTGTTCGCAGTCGTTCCTCTGAAACACGGCCTGAACTACGAAGTCCTGGAGAAAGGTCACGTGCGTTTCTGGGTGCAGGCCGTCAAACTGTCCTCCTCTGTCAACTACAGGTTCATCGTGAACGACAAGGAAGTCGCTGCTGGAGAGGTGTTTTATCCACGTCTGATTTTTTTTTAGCTCTAAAGTCTCGGAGGTCACGGAGAACACGTGTTCGACCGACGTTGATTTTTGTCTCTTTGTTTTTTCATCGTCAGGGTTATAAGATCAGTCATGACGTGGGCACAGGAATCATCCAGATGACGGTGGAACAGTTCACCAGAGCCAACGAAGGCACCTACACCGTCCAGATCAACGACGGAAAGGCCAAGACCCAGAGCTCCCTGGTGCTGGTCGGAGACGGTGAGGACGTTTTCACTGCACCACTCCGTCAGATGAACGGGTTTCTGATTGGAGATTTTAGATAAAACAGTGCACAAGTTTGGTTTTAATCAGTTTTATCTGCAGTGACACTTTTTTATTAAATACAAAAATGCAAAATTTAAATTTTTTTTTTTTCCCATCTTAGTTTTTAAGGTCGCTCTGAGGGAAAAAAATTTTTTTTCCTGTCTTAGTTTTTAAGGTCGCTCTGAGGGAGGCGGAGTTCCAGAGGAAGGAGCACATCAGGAAGCAAGGTGCCAACAACAACAACAACAATCAACAAAAATTATTAAAATAATTTTCTACTTTTTTTTTTGTTCTTGTCTAACTCACACGTTTCACTGTGTCATTTCAGGTCCACATTTCTCTGAGTACCTGTATTTCACTGTCACTGAGGACTGCACTGTTCTGCTCACCTGCAAGGTAACCAATCAGATCACAGCATTTTTACTGCAGTAATCTAATCTAATCTAATCTAATCTAATCTAATCTAATCTAATCTAATCTAATCTAATCTAATCTAATCTAATCCCCGTGTCATTGCTGATTTGCTGTCAGGTTGCCAACGTCAAGAAGGAGACAACTTTCCACTGGTACAAAGAGGAAGACGAGATTGTTCTGGAAACTCCTCCTAACGTCCTGTCCGGAGCCTGCGCTCTGCCCGTCCCTCTGGTAACTGAGTCAGAGAATCAGTGGTTTGGATGTCGAGCAGCATCACGGATGATTTCTTAAAAAAAAAAAAAGCATTAAAAAAACAAGATTTTTTGGATCAATTAAGTAAAATAAAATATTTTTTCTGTCATGGCACACTACTGTGCCGCAGCCCAGAGGTTGAGAATAAGTAAAATAAAATAATTTTTCTGTCATGGCACACAACTGTGCCGCAGCCCAGAGGTTGAGAATCACTGAACTGAAGTGCTGATGTTTTGGGGTTTTTTTTCGTGTCAGTTCTCCAGAAAAGATCAGGGCGTTTACAAGGCCGTGCTGGGTGACGACAGAGGAAAGGACACGTCTGTGATCGACATTTCAGGAAAAGGTCACTTTGATATATTTATTTAAAATAAAAATATTTATTTTTTAATAATTAATTGATAGATTCATTAATTTGTTTGTAACTTTTTTCTCTGTTCTGTTTGATCGGTTCAGTGTTTGATGACATCATCAACGCCCTGGCCCAGATCGCTGGTGAGTTATAAAAACACACGCTCCTGACGTGACCTGGTGACAGGAAGTTCATGTCATTAAGACAAAGAAGTTGTTGCTGTGATGTCACTCTGTCTGGTTGGCAGTGGCTCAAAGTCATAAACACTGTTTACAAAATGTTATTAAAATCACTCCCAGAGTGACGTGATCACACGAGGTTCACCATGACTTGGACTTCAATTAAACAGTATTAGTATTATCACTGTGTTGACCTTTGCCCTCCTCCACTCCCCCCCAGGTGCCTCTGCCTCTGACCTGGTGCTGCAGTGTACACCAGAGGGCATCAGACTGCAGTGCTACATGAGCTACTACACAGAGGAGATGAAGACCGTGTGGAAGCACAAGTACGTTCTGAAAAAAAAAAAACAACAAAAAAAACACCTGGTATAAATTCATGTCTCACTGATCCAGGATCAGCATGTACTACATCACATTTTAGTGCGGGGGTGTCGAACATAAGGCCTGCGGGCCAAAAGTGGCCCACTAGGAGGTTCAATCCGGGCCGCCCACAAACACTTCAAGTTCATAATGTTTTGTAAAATTTTTGAATTTTTGAATTTTTTCTACATTTCATTTACAAATCTGGACCCATCTTAGAACACCTACCACGTTTTTAGCCTCCTCAGGTAACTTTAGCTGCTCAAGTTCTGCAGTGAAGACAAAAATAAAACAAACTAGACTAGATTAGACTAGATTAGACTAGACTGACCCTGTGTTTCCTGCAGGGAGTCCAAGATCGCCTCCTCTGAGAAGATGAGGATCGGTGGCACAGCGGAGATGGCCTGGATGCAGATCTGTGACCCCACCGACAAGGAGAAGGGCAACTACACTATGGAGATCTCAGACGGGGTGAAGACTCACATCAGGACCTTTGACCTCTCCGGACAAGGTAGAAGATGAGACAAAATCAAACTGATTCTGATTTATGGCTCAGAGGAGATGTTTTGTTGCTATGCTAATCTGATGGAAGGTTCAATATTTTGATATCAAGAACTTTTTTTTTTTCCACAGCCTACACCGAAGCCTACGAGGAGTACCTGAGACTTAAGTAAGTCTTGTGAAGTTTGTGAATGTGAGCTTCTCTCTTATGAAGATATTAAAAAAACAAAACAAAACTAACTCTTGTGTCTGTCTGTCCTACAGGGCAGCTGCATTTGCTGAAAAGAGTGAGTAACCGGTGACAGCAGCAGCGTTAATGACGCCCGGTCGTGGTCGTCTCCTCTCCCTCGGGCGTCTTCTCCGTCCACAGACACACTGAGCTGATTTCATTAGTTGTTGGTTTTAAAGAACAAAGTGTTGGCCAACCGTTTTACATTCGTAACATTCTGAACATCTCCTCCTCCCGTCTGCTCTCAGACACATGTTGTAACGTAAACAATATTACTGTAGTTTGTATTAATGTTCACTGGAGCTGAGTCAGCGTTTCTTCTCTGAAAAAACTCCAGCTGTTTTTTTTTTTTAGTGGATTAAGTGATTTTGTAGGATTTAAGTTCATTAGTTGGTTTAAGGCGGGATTTAAGGTGGAATTTCCTCTAGTAATTTTTATTAAATCAGACCAATGGTGAAGCAGATTTTCCTGCTTCTTGTCAACAAGTATCATTGATTATTGATTTAGTATAAATATCACTGTAATATATTTTATAAAAAAATAATATCTTATATAGTATTTGTCAGTATTAAACACACCATGTGTTTTGTAGTAAATGTACATGTTTTAGTGTGTTGTTTACATGTTGTTGTCGTTCCTCCTCAGACCGCGGCAGAGTGCTGGGTGGTCTCCCTGACGTCGTCACCATCATGGAGCACAAGGTGAGGATGTGTGGGTTTTTAATAGTTTATTAAGAAAATAAATAATTCTATGATAAGTATTGCAAAATAAAGATTAAAAATTACATTATAGAAATTAATAATTTAATATACATTATAAAAAAAGTGGAAAAGTGGAAACTGTTAAAAACATTTACTTTTACTTTACTTTTTACTTTACTTTTACTCTGTGACACATTATGCAAATCCCTGCTGCAGGGCTGGTTCTGGTCTGCGGGCCATATGTTTAGAACCCCTGCCTCAAGTGTACTGATAACATATGATTATATAATCAGGTTGGTGGAAGAGGTGTCACCCCCTGCTGTACAGGTCCATTAACTACACGAAGGCGTGTCACTGACGAGAGCCAAGTGATTACAGGCACAATTAGACCTGATCCTGCGCAGATCAACGTTTCACCGACACATGTTTTGTTGACTTCCTGACCTGGTGTGTAGTAGTTGAAGTACAGGTCGTACTGCTCCGGCAGCATTGGTGTGAAGCAGAAGGAGAAAATTACCGTCGTGAGCTGTTGGCTCATCCCTGTTTATGAAAACACACTGACGCTGGCGTCAGGGGCGAACGGAAGTGTCTGCCCCGGCTCCCCGTGTCTTTGTCTCCAGACGTGCAGATGCGTGACGACGATTCAACGCCAGGACAGGAAATGCAGCTTTAATCCAATCAGCTAGTTAGCGATAAATTAGCAATAGCTAAATTGCTAAAATGCATTTTGTTCATTTTGAAAAAAAAAAGTCATGTTGATGATTTTTAAGTAAGTACACAGATATAAGAAGATATTACTCACTATCAAAAGACGGACCATCCAATAGGAGCTTAGTGATGTCATTTTTACTTAGCTTGCTAAGCTAACCACAGTTTCTTTGTGTACTGAACACCAAAAATACTGAATTCCTACATTACTACAAGATTTTGTCATCTATTTAAAAATGCAGGGTGAAACTATAAATATTGGTGTAATTTATTTCTAGTTTTTAATGTCTTGATTACATTAAGAAAATAACAGACTAAAAGACTGGACTGGATTTTTTTTCTCCAGATTAGGGATCGACACCCAACATCTGACCTTGAAGTTTCAGTCTCTAAATACTGATTCACATGAGGTTTGTTTTTTTTCTTCCCTCAGTCCCTGAGCCTGACCTGCACAGTGTGTGGCGAGCCGACCCCTGAGGTCACCTGGTTCAAGAACGAGCAGGAGGTTATCTCCAACGAGCACACCAGGGTCACATTTGACGGTGGCAAGTTTGCCAGCATGGTCATCAACCAGGTCACGCCCGAGGACTCTGGCAAGTACAGCATCAACGTGCGGAACAAGTACGGCGGCGAGTTCGTGGAGATCACCGTCAGCGTCTACAAGCACGGCGAGAAGATCCCTGAGCCCAAACTGGGACAGCCCAAAATGGCCACGCCCTGCGTTACTCCTGCAGCCACTCCCGCTCCCAAGTCCCCCGCTCCCCCGTCCAAGACCCCGACCCCTGCACCCTCCAAGTCCCAGACCCCAGCGCCGTCCACAAAGACCCCAACTCCAGCATCCACCCCGGCTCCTAAGTCTCCAACCCCAACCCCCAGATTTGGCGCCCAAGCCCCCAAATCACCGACCCCAACCCAGAAATCTCCAACCCCGGGCGGCATGAAGTCCCCGACTCCATCCAGGTTCATGAAGTCTCCAACCCCCCCCAGGAAGTAAACGGGTGGAGGGGACGTCTGCCGTTAGCATCGCTGATTTAAAGCATGTGAGTGAAACCATAGAAAAATAAAACAACTCTCATTTAGACGTAGTCGCCGTGAACTGTCCCGCCGCCTCCTGAGACCAGAGCACCAACCAGAGAGAGCCTTTATCGTTAACTTGTACTAACTGGTTCCACAGTAAACACAGGGCAGTCTGACAACAGAGGGACGTTCGCAGTGACTGCAGGGTAGATGTTCTGTCACTTCATGTCGTTCAACTGGCCACCGAGCAGAAAAATGAAAGAAACCAAAAATTTGCCGGAGGAGGGCGGAGGTCAAAGTTTAGTGTTTTAAGAGCCGAACCTTCCGCTACGCAAGAGTCGCGGAACGCCTGTGTTCATTTCCTGTGGATGTTAAATTATGATTCTAGTGTTAAATGTCTTAGATCAAATGATGAGAACGTACTTACCCGGTGCTACTGATGTGGTCAGAGAACACCGTCGTGGAGCTCCACTCCTGCTCTCTGACTCTGAGGGAACCTCAGCCTTAAAGTCTCTCAAACCTCAGACTCAAACCTTCAGAATGAAGTGAATTTAATGTTTTGTTTTTTTTTTTGACATTTCTCTGAAGTGTACGTCTGACAACAGCTCCTGAGTTTGTGTCTTCTCTGATCTCAGCAGTCGTCCTGGTAGGTGCAGTGTCTAAACTGCAGGTAGCGCTGTAGCTGTTAGTTAGTTCAGTCCAAACCTGATCTTGTGTATTGTCCCTGGAACCAGGACTCTGTCCCCGTTTGAAGTCAAATCTGTGCCACAGGTTTGACCCTCAGTCACATGTTGTGATGTGTCCCCATCAGTGATTTGTGATGGCATTAAACTTCACGTTTCATCCTGATTTAAAGCAGCGTGTGGTGATCTTTTCTCCGTCTCGTCACTCGTCACGTCTCACTAAGAGATAAAGAACAACTTCTGCATTTTATGTCACTACAAAAATGTGATCATATTCATAGGAAACCTATATAAAAAAACTGGTGTTTCACTGTAAACTGCTCATGTGATACGACATACTGTAGGGATGTCCGATAATAACTTTCTGCCGATATCTGATATGCCGATATTGTCCAAACTCTTAATTTCCGATTTAGATTCAGATACAATTCTGCGTAAAATTCCCTGATTGTTAAAATAGATTCATGAAATGAGCTGCAGTGCTGCCATCTAGTGACTTTCACTTTCATATACAGCTGTTTTTCCCCAAAACTATATTATGATTCTTACAGATATACAGTATAATTATGCTAATCTCAGGCTGATAATATTTGTCGGCGGATATTATCGGCCATCTTGGTTTTGAACCTGGGCTCCTCCGAGTTCTGGTGTCGGTCCCAGTGAAACTAAAAAGGTTTCCAACAAATGGAGTACAATCATCCAGTTTCCCTCCTCTGGAGACAACAACAGTGAAACCAAAAGTAGGTGATAACGACTCCTGGTGGTCAGAGCTCATAGTTAGGTCAAAACAGAGCAGAAACCAATCAGAAACCTGGACCAAAGATTTGTTTCTGCTCAGCCAATAAAACATTTACTGTAGTTTTTCATCCAATCAGAACTTTTACATAATGACAAAACTTTTTTTTTTATTTCTTCCAAAGAAGGAAAACAAACACCTCACAGCAGCTACACCCAGTTCATGAACATACTCGTGGGTAAAACTCCTGTTCTGCCAATAAAGTCTCCCAAAGCTACACAATAGACCTGGAAGTCCCTTGAAACAGCCTTGAAAGCCAAGCTGCCTGTAACAGCTGTGGTAGGTAAACAAACCTGCTCCTGAAACCCAGGTGAGTGTGAGCTGAGGTGGGCGGGGCCTGAGCTCTGTTTGAAGCGTCAGTTGACTTACCAGGGCAGGTACACAGGACCAAAGTGTTCACATCCACACCTTAGAAGAGCAGGAGAGAAGACACGCCTGCGGCAGGACAGACACAGACGCAGACGCAGACGCCGAGGCGTGAGGTGAGGGGGTTATTTGAACTTTTTGCAACAAAACTCTCTCTCTAGTGCAAACTAAACTCACTGGGCAGAGACTCGGAGACGTCTTCTTGTGCTGAGTGACACTGGATGGACAGGTTTTCACGCTTTTCTCTTCACATGAAACTCCAAGCATCTGTTGCTTCGTGCAGCACAGGTTTCTGTTCAAGGCTGCATGGTTAACAGTCAGAGGACGGGACCATGACGTCCAACCTGTCCTGCCTGTCTTCACTTAAAGACGACGACGCTCCTCTTTACATCCAGCCACACTACAAGGAGTCCTACAGACTGGCCATTTATGCCCTCCTGTGCGGGGGCAAGGAGGCCTACGAGGAGTTCCTGTGCGCCGAACAGATCAGCCACTTCCTGTCCGAGGAGGAGATCTTGTTCATCCTAGAAAATGGGGAGCTGGCCCCCGCTGAAGATGAGTCAGAGGGCAGAGAGGTCACCGCCGAGGTCAACCCCTCCACGTACTTTCCGATGGAGTCCGATGACGAGGTACCAGACCTGGACCTGGGCTGGCCCGAAGTCACGCTGGAGGACTCGGACACGAGCATCAGTCTGCTGTTCCAACCTCCCAGGGAGAACACGCCGAGCATCAAGGACGTGGTTCGCAAACAGATTCAGGAGGCGAGGCAGGTGAGACGATGATGATGATGATGAATATGTAGCGGTCAAGACACACAAGCACAGAAGAGTTGATCAAACACGCAGTGAGAGGAGCTGCTTTCAGTCAGAGAAAAACAAACATGGCCGCATACTTCAGTGTGATAGTCAACAGTCAAGTAGAGGAACGCACACACACAGTCGATATGTTCGATCGTTTACACTGGAGCAGGGTTGTCTCCAAAGACCGACCCAGGTTTGGTCTGACCTCAGACTCAGACCTTCAGAATTTTAATCCTTATCACCTGCCGTACATTACAGACGGTCCCTTTAACCAGTCATTTAAGAGCGTTCTCATTTGTTTTTTCTGACGCTGTAAAATGTCTAAGACGTAGAAACATTTTCACATAGATTTATATTCATGGTGAAATTCTAATTTACTCCCAAACTTTGACTTTTCATCCAAAGTTTAACGTTAAGATTTTGTCGAGTCAGTTCACCAACCGCAAAATAAAAGCTATTTTTTTTAAATTATTATTATATAGACTTGGATACTACATTATCTGTAAAAATAAAATAAAATCAAAAACTATGACATCATTTAAAATAAAAAGTTTTAAGAACAAATTGAAAGTAAAAAGCTTAGCTACAGGCTGCATATTGCAAAGCTAGGCTAACCACAACAAGATCTGATTGGAGCTTATTTGTAACAATATATCATTTGTGTGTGTGTGTGTGTGTGTGTGTGTGTGTTGCTCTGTCCTGCATAAACTCGTTCGTTGAAACACAACATGTTACAAGTATTCAACCTGCCTTCACTTCCACCTCAGGCTAACAAATCATTTGTATAATTCTTCTCAACTACCTGGAAACAAGTCAACGTGGTTTGTTTATGACATGGCATTGGGAAAACATTTTTAAATATATATTATAAATATATCACCTTTACAGTGTTGGAGCACTGTATACTGTAAACCAAGACGTCTGAGAGTGAACTTCAGTTATGCCTCTTGGCCCAGTCCCAGACTCTTCACATCGTTGATGAAATCTGACAGTTTATCTGTGTGAGAAAAACCTACGTCCTACACTGAGGATTAGTGCCATCTAACAGTAGGACGAGGAAACCGTTCACGGCTGTTACGCCTCCTATGGGTGGCCTACTTCCTACACATTTTACCTATAAACGAAGAGTCTGATGTTTCTGTAGCGACTGAAATGAGTTAAGAGTCATCGGGAGATACTGCCGTGACAGACGGAGGGAGAGAGTAAACACCCGAGGCCAGTGATTAGTCACCAACACAACACACTTTACACACAGATGAGATGCTAAACAGCACTGTCTGTCTGTCTGTCTGTGTGTGAAGAAAAAAAATCTACATAAAAAAAACCAAAATGTCCACCAGGGGGCAGGACTGAATTTGTTCACAGAAAAAAAAAAAACCAACGTGATTAATGAGTTAATAATTTGGTGACCAGTAAACCAGTCTCTCTGTCTGTGTGTGTGTGTGTCTCCAGCTGATTGCCATAGCCATGGACGTCTTCACTGATGTGGACATCTTTAAGGAAGTGGTCAGCGCGACGCTGAGGGGAGTGGTGGTCTACATCCTCCTGGACGACACCCAGTTCCAGAGCTTTCTGACCATGTCCCACAGAGTGGGCGTCAACATCCAGGACCTGAAGGTGAGAGTTCAACGTCTGCTGCTGTTAGATTCCACAACGTACGGCAAAACGTTCTCACGCCCGTGTGAAGTTCTGCGGGAACATCGTGGCGTTCCCAGAACACGGAAACCAGATTACATAAAGACTACGAAGGCTCGAGTAGTCGTCAACAACAACTAGTACCAGGGTTGTTGACTGTACAGATGTAAATAATAAATGTTTGATTGATTATTTATTATAAGTTACAAATATTGGTCAATGCTGTGTAATTCAAAAAAAAAAATCTAATTTACCAGGTGCTTTTTAAGCTCTCACGGGCCATACAATCGAAAAAAAATCTACATAAAAAAAAACAAAATGTCCACCAGGGGGCAGGACTGAATTTGTTCACAGAAAAAAAAATCAACTTGATTAATGAGTTAATAATGTGGTGACCAGTAAACCAGTCTCTCTGTCTGTGTGTGTGTGTCTCCAGCTGATTGCCATAGCCATGGACGTCTTCACTGATGTGGACATCTTTAAGGAAGTGGTCAGCGCGACGCTGAGGGGAGTGGTGGTCTACATCCTCCTGGACGACACCCAGTTCCAGAGCTTTCTGACCATGTCCCACAGAGTGGGCGTCAACATCCAGGACCTGAAGGTGAGAGTTCAACGTCTGCTGCTGTTAGATTCCACAACGTACGGCAAAACGTTCTCACGCCCGTGTGAAGTTCTGCGGGAACATCGTGGCGTTCCCAGAACACGGAAACCAGATTACATAAAGACTACGAAGGCTCGAGTAGTCGTCAACAACAACTAGTACCAGTTCCCCTGGAAGGGCGGGTTGTTGACTGTACAGATGTAAATAATAAATGTTTGATTGATTATTTATTATAAGTTACAAATAGTGGTCATTGCTGTGTAATTTAAAAAAAAACAAAACAAAAAAAACTTCAAATTTACCAGGTCCTTTTTAAGCTCCCATGGGCCATACAATATGACTTGATGGGCCGAATTTGGCCCCCGGGCCTTGAGTTTGACACACGTGATTCTGATGGATTAAGGTCAAGTTTGATTGGTGATTTAACTGATGTGTGTTCAGTCTGTGGAGGAATTTCCTGCTGCTTTTTTCTCTCTGCTCAGGCTCAGAACATAACATTATCAGAACATTACAATAGAAAGTTTAAAAATATATATATATATTTCTGTCACCTCTGATACAGAGGAGGGTGTGTTGGTACAGTTCACACAGTTCTGGTTCAGGGTTCGTGACGCCTTCCTTTTCTTGTATTTATTCTAAGAGTGCGACGGAGCTCTGTGGTTTTGTTTGACCATGGCGGAGGTTCATTCTTTCTTGGCTTGGAGTTTCATTCCAAATTTACAGGTTTGACTCTTTAGGTGTCAGGACATGAGGTTAAGAATAATTACAGACAAACCCCCCCAGGGATTTCGTTACGCCCTGAACATTTACATCTGTGTTTACATGTGTACATGTCATTTCCCTGCTAAAACACACAACGTTAATTCTTCCTACTATTCCATATATCTTCACATTCAACTGCACTTATAAAGATGTGACCATGGAGGCCTTGCCATTAAATTATATATATATATATATATTGCTATATATTTTTCTCAATATATTTTCTAAATATATTTTAATATATTATTTTTCTAAAAATCTTTACCACTATATATATAAATATATACATATATGTACATATATGTGTACATATATGTACATATATGCTATATATTTTTCTAAAGTTTTTTACCACTATATATATATATATGTGTGTATATATGTGTGTGTACATATATATGTAAATATATATATGTACATATATATGTACATATATATATATGAACAAAGATATGTACATATATGTACATATATATAGTGGTAAAGTTTTTTAGAAAAATATATATAAAATATATAAAAAAACCTAAAAATATATGCATAAAATATATGTATAGATATCAAATTATTTTAGATGCAAAGACACTTTTTAAACCTCTTTCTCTTCTTTATCGGTTGCTGTCTGGTCAACCCGACCAGTTATTATTAGTCTACATCTGTTCGACCGGGTTTAGAATAGCAGTAATTGAATGCAACGTAAATATTTTGTGTGTTCCTGCTGCAGTCATGAGTGAGTGCAGATCAGTTTGAGGAGCCGGTGATGACCTTTCATCTGTTCGCAGCAGCTCTTCGTGGATTAACGATGACATTTGCTCCACACCCTCAACACATCGCTTCTGTTTGCCAGCGTTTCCCTCGCTGCAGTCGTGATCACAGTGGAGGAGACGACTGCAGCAGCTGACAGACGGCCCTCTGACTGTTACTGGATTTTCCTGTCCAGCTACATCAGATCGATGTGCAAACAGTAAAAGCGACATGTCGCCAGAACGAAAAGTTGCGACGGCTTGGTGCAGAAATCACATAGCCAGTAGTCATATCACAGCAGCAGCCTCCTGAAGGCTGAGACACGGGTTCCATCCTGTCGATAATTAAAAAAAAAAAAAAAAGGCGTGTAATTACTTTTCTGCCACTGGCTGGAGTTCACTTCCTGTAGTTTCAACCCTAACGTTTACAAAGTGCAACTTCAACTGCATGTGTTTTGTTGGATCTTTAATTTATTTATTTGTTGTTTTTTATTTCTTTTTGTCCTTGCAGTCGTCATACAAAACCTGAAAGTAAAGGTTAAAATTCAAGGCTTGGATTTTTTTTTTTTTATGTCGGTAATTACCCAGTATCCAGCCTGTGCTTCCTAAGAACAGTTCCAACGAAAACCATGAGAAAGAAGACAATGACCTTAAGTTGTTTTCCTGTTAAACGACTCTTGAAAATGGATAGTTCAGGTTCAAGGTGGACGGTGTTGAATTTTCATTATCAGGAAAATCAACGTGAAGGAAAAGTATTGTTGACATGGACTTGAAGAAAATGAGCTTGTAAACAAATAAAACAAATCCATATTTTTTTGGCCTTCACTAGCGTGATATACAGAGTTTATTTTCCCGACTGGTTCGACATCCTTCAGTCACGCTGCAGGTTATGTCACATTCCAGCTTCTGACACAACATTTTTGTAAAGCTGAAATGTTAGACGACAGACGACACCACCGGACTATCTCCTCTGAGAGGACATCTGTCCCCAACACGATGTCATACGTCTTTTTTTTTTTTACATTTGTCCCCAACACGATGTCATATGTCTTTTTTTTTTTCATTTAGAACCTATGAAAAATGATTAACTTGTTCCTCTGTGTCTCTACGTCAGAACATTCGAGTTCGGACCGTCCAGGGGCCTCAGTATCAGTGTCAGTCCGGGGTCAAGTTCAACGGCGGAATGGAGCAGAAGTTTATCCTGGTGGACTGCAGGACAGTTCTGTACGGGACTTACAGGTGAGTGGATCAGAACCACTCCACTCATGTGGAACGTCTAGTTTTGAAATAATCATTTTAATTATTATTTTGTTTTATCTTTCAGCTACACTTGGTCCTTCGAGAAGATCAACCTCAGCATGGTTCTGGTGGTAACTGGTCAGCTGGTCTGCTCTTACGATGAGGAGTTTCGGAGACTGTACGCACGGTCCACGGTTCCTGCACTGCTGTCCTGGGAGAGGCCTCCCGCCCAGTACCAGAGAGAACCTGTACCCGTGCAGAACCCAAACTCCAGCCACCTCTCGCTGCACCAGATTCACAGGCCCAGAGTGATGCACGGCATGAGAAGTGTTCTGGACGAGAGGTTCAGCAACTCCAACGTGCTGACGAGAGGCGTGAGCGTCCAGGATAAGTTACACCAGTCTCACTGTCCTGAGATGGGGAATCTGGTGCGGGGCCACAGCTATGGTGGAGAGCTGCAGAAGTTGAATTCTTTGACTCGACTCAGGATGGGCACCAAGGACATCGGACTACCTGACAGACCTGCTCCTCAGCTGAGGGGGAACACTGACTTACTTACCAACAGGTTGTCTCAGCAGCACCTTCGACATCGTACTCGCTACGGTGCCGACCAAAATCTTATACCTTTTAACTCGGAAACATCGCTTCACAGGTGGAAGATGGACGCCTACTTTGAGAACGAAATTCCACTGGACCCAGCGTTTGACATGGCGTCCCCCGTGGGCTCTCCGTTCAGCAGTCACACGGGTTTGAATGAGCACCAGTCACAGCTGATTCACACCAGGTCCCGGGAAATCAAGAGTCGGTTAGAGGAGATGAGGCAGAAGCGGCTCAGTCTGCAGGACTACAACAGTCTCAGGCAGAGCCAGGAGAGTTTAAGGTCCATGTATCCTACCTTAGAAAGACCAAAATACATGTCTTCATTGAGGAACCTGGACACGAGGCCTGGTACGACCGATTTTGAGCCATATGTGCAAAATGGTCGCAACGTGGAGTCGGTCAACCAGAAAATTGGCGAGCCCAGCAACGAGTCTCTGTACAGGACGGTTTCGGCCGCTGAGATAGACATGACAATGAACGACCCGTTACTCAAACTCTCTCACCTGCAATCGAGCAGTCTCAGTATTCAGCTCCCCAGAGCGATGGAGTCTCTGGTTGAGATACCTGAAGAAAAAGATGGTTCAAACAATCAGATCAACAGCCCCGGTACAGCTGCCCTGCTCAACGGACACGAGGAGATCTGCACGGACGACCCCAGAGGTCAGAGGGGCAAATCGAGCCTGGCCACGGAATCACCAGGTAACGATGAAATCAAAGGAAGCAATGGTTCTCTGGGTAAGACGGAGACGAGCGCAGGCTCGGCTGCTGCTAAAGAAAGAAAGAAATCAGTTGCTAATGACATAGAAAGTACCCCAAAGATCTTAAACACATCCACGGAGAGCCAGCATTCGGTGGAGACCAAGGCGAGTCATGGAGAAAAGCGTCGAGAGGAACCGTCACTCCAGAGGAAGAGCTCTGTGAGAATGAAGGTTCAGTCCATGCTTTCGTCGGATGAAAAGAAAGACAAGCCGTCCAAGAAAGAGTCTCTCCAACGAAAAGCCTCATTGAGATCGCCCAATACCTCGGGGTCAAACCAACCCCTCAAAGCTGACCATTCGCAGGCTCCTGCTGCCAGTCAAAAGAAAGGTCATCCACCGGCCGTTTCCAGGTCACAGAACTCCAGCGGTCCAGCAGATGCAGAGAAGCCCAAGGCTGCTTTTCCCAGACTTTCTCCTCATCGTTCAAGCAAACGAAAGCCAAACCTGACGACAGGGCAGGACAGAGGATCAAAGGACACTCTGGACCAGGAGGGGGCGACGGTTGTCCAGACCAGAAGAGAAAAGGCCTACAGTAGATACGAGTATCTGCTCAGCACCGAACGGATACCAATGGAGAGAGACCGAGACATGTCCACCTGGCACAGCAAACAGGACTCAGAGTATCCGATGTACCAGACTCAGAATGCCACCGACAAGAAACTTGGACGATTCATGCAGCGAGTAGGAAATCTCATTGGCAAAAAATAACTGAGGAGAGGAAACGACGGTCATGCTGCATTAAAGACATTAAAGACACTTCCAAGTCGTGAAGCTCAAATTCTTGGATTCTGCCCTAACTGGACCAGGCTGTGGTCCACCACTGCCCCCTTGTGTACAACGACTGTAATCCTGGTAACAACCTAAAGGTTACTTTGACTTTAGCTTGTGCAATGTTTAGATTCTGTGCAGAAAATTGTTTTTTAATGACTTCTTTTTATAGACTGTGTTTGGCAAGTCTGAAAATATATCAGTTTTACTATTTGTCTTAATTAATCCAAGGGACTGAATGAAACAAATAAGATCAGTTGTAGCCAACAGTTCGCAGGGTAAATATGTGTTGTTGTTTTTTGCTGGATGGAGACTGTTCTCTTTAAACAAGGGTCTCAGACTGAGGGCCACAGTCATTTGACTGGGGGGGGGGGGGGAGTGTTTGATATTCCATATATTAAAAAACAGATATTTTTTGGGGGAAACCTTTTGTTAAATATAAATACTGTATTGTATTTAAGTGCCAAAAGTTAAATAAGCAATTGAAAATACCTATATATATATATACACACACACTTATGTATATATATATATATACATATGTATATATATACACACATAAATATATTTATGTGTGTATATATATATATATACACACATATGTATATATATATATATACATATGTATATATATATACATATATACACACATAAATATATATATATATATAATACATACCTCAAGGGCAGTCTAGTCATGTGATAGATGAGTCAGACTTGTGTGATGAAAGTGCTGCTTTAAGCAAATTTATGTTGTACATGTGGAAGGTTTGTTAACATACAGTGCTGTAAAAATGTTGATAAAAAGCATTATCAAGAATATATATATACATATATACATATATATATATAGTATACTCTGTAAATAACATAATCATAAACAATAAAATCCTTGTCAAATTTTGCTGATGTGTTGGTTTTTTTTTTTCTGTTTGTTTTTTTTTGGTAAAACCTATATTTCCATCAATTTCCTTAGAAACATTTGTGTGATCTTGAGTGGGTGTGACTAGACAAACTGAATGAAACCGTCTAAAGTAAATAGAGTTTAAAATGCCACGCCTTCACAGGACAAGCTTTTTAAAAAGGTGAAATGAATAAAACATTAACTTTCATGACCTACTAGTTCTTGTTTGGTCTCGGTGTTCAGGAGAAAATAGCAACAGAAAACACACTTCTAAATGTTGGTAGTTGTTTTGTTTATACTTTTATTCCGATGTCTAGAACCAGCTTTCTAGATAAAATACTCCAGAGACTTGTTTCTCTCATCATCTAGTTCTTGAGTCTCAATCTCAAACTTTTTCAAGGCGATGAAATACTGAACAAACGGTTCTCCCAGCATGCTGCACATCACGTGGTCGCCCTCCAGCGCCTCCAGAGCATCTTCTAGTTTTACAGGAATGGCAAACTCCCTTTGCTGACCTGGGGCTTTTTTCCGAATGCTGTCTACGTTGAGGTTCCGTCTTATACCATCCAGTCCTGCAGCCACTGTGGCGGCCAGTGCAATATAAGGATTGGCCAAGGCTGAGCCTAGCTTGTTTTCAATTTGCATCTCCCTACCACCATGGCACTTGATGTTGAAGGAGCTGCTGTTATCATTGCTGCCACAGGTGGCGTACAGAGTGGCTTTGGGGTCTTTGATGGTCTTTGCGATGTGGCTTCGGCAGCCGAGGCTAGGTGACATCAGGCAGCTCAGAGCAGCGGAGTGGCTGAGCAGCCCTGCCAGCCACCTACGTCCGATCTCGGAGAGCTCGTCGGCCTTTTCGCCACTTTGGAACAGACTACGTTTCCCAGTAGCGTCCCACAAGCAGTGAGACAAAACTCCAGAGTTGAAAAGGCCATCTTCAGTGAAAAAGCTAGCAAGGTAGCCTTGTTTACGGGCCATTTCCTTGATACCAGTGCGGAACGTGAAGGCGCTATCGGCAGCTGAGATCCCAAATTCTGGACGAAGGCTGATCTCCATCTGGGCCGGCCCACTGGCCGAGGAGATGCTGTCAATGTCTGCACCCATGCAGTACATGTTGTCCATGAGCTGCTGGAAGAAAGGCAGGTCGTGGCTACCCAGCAGGGTGGTGGCGGGGAACATTAGCGTTTTTAGTCCGATCCGGTCTGGTGCTCCAATAACACAGCACTCGTAGGTGAAGGAGGAGTGCAGTGAGAAGCCCAGACTTTGGAGCTGACCAAGGAGCTGCTTAGTAATGAGGCGAGGAGAGGTACACAGGGGGCTCCCGGTCACTGTGCAGGGGTCGCAGATAACTCGAGCAGTATTCTCAGCCCAGGGAAGCGCCCTAAAAGTCGAAAGGTCAGGTATTAACAGAACATCACTGTTGAAGTTGGCTGTGTTAGCGTGGTCCACTTCATTACTCCTGGGGCACAGCGTTAGCTCCAGGTAACTCCGTGGCATTGGAACTCCATGAAGCGACTTCTCCTGTAGATGCAACATTAACTTTAACAAGGAGTCTGGAATATGTTTTAAATTACAATTTCCTGGTGGCCTAGCTTAGCCTGACATGGAATTAGGTGTAGGTAGATGGATGGATGGATGGATGGATGGATGGATGGATGGATGGATGGATTCACATACTTGGAAGAAGCGAACAGGGACAGTCTTGGACCTGGACACCCCATGAAGGTCGGTGGCCTCAAAGCGGACAAAGCCGGTGTTGTCTCTGGCAATCTGCTGCTTGATCTGCTCCATGGCAGCAATGAACATTTGGTCACTGAAGAACTTATGTGTCTTGTTTTCTTTTCCTGTTAAAACAGGGATTTCATGAAAAAAAAAATTGATTCAAAAGAAACATGCTTATATTTATTTATTAAAATACATTTCGTAAACACCTCAGTCGGGCAACAAAAAACAGATAAACTTTGTAAAAACAAATTTGATGATAACACTTTAACCTACACAATGGTTTAAAAACATTATATTATTAGTTTGAACACTTCTAAGTTTTGTCAATGATCTAGTTTTACTGACCTGTGTGAGAAGCTCTGGTCTCTCCCCAGGATCTACCACTCACATTAGAGTGAGTGCTAACTTGTGGCTGTTGCCTGATAGTCTTTTCATCAGGCATGAATGAGCTGGATGAATCCATGTTGGAAGGTTGATGAATAGAGGAGCGGCCTCGGGGCCGGGCCCCTGTTCTGGAAGCGTCAGAGTTGGGTTGGAAGGTGGTCAACATCCCATGATGCTTTACCTCATCCTGCTGTCCATCAAATCCCCCACAACCATCTCCTCCATGTCTGTAGTAAAGGCCAGTATGGACTTTCACAAAAGGACTTTCCGGTTTCCCATCTTCTTGTTCACAGAATTTCACCCGGGGGCTGGAGCTCAGGAAGGTCTTCAGTTCCTCCACCGTCTGCCTGGGGATGTTTACTTCACTAAATGACTCTCTGGCGTCTGACAGTGGCTCCTGGCTCCAGTCATCCTCCACTGTGGGATCATCCAGACTTCGATCATATCTGTGCTCTACAGGTGTTTGAGGAAAAGACCGTCCAAATACCAGAGCTTGGTTTTCTGAAGGTAAGGAGGTGCTAGCATGAGGATGGACGATGGAAGACGCTCCACTTCCTCCACTCCAGTCCATGGGGTTCAAACGTTTGCTAGTCGCCTTCTCATACTTTTTGTTGCCAAAGCTCACACCTACGCCATCTACCTGATCTGTACGCCTGACCTGGAAACAGACGAGATCTGTCTGTCATTTAAATGGTAAAACATATTGCATTAAATCGGAAGTATTTCTTGGAAAAAAACAGAGAGAAAATGCAATAATTCCAGAAGACAACTTTGAAAAAGTACCTCGAAATCTTCTGAATCTTCCTTCATTTTGCTCTTTAAACAATTTCCCGCAGAGTAATTTTCTGCAGAATTCAGATTATTTTTATAGACACGACACAATGGTGAAAAGATTAGAAATTTCTCTGTGTCCAACTAATGCACGTGGGAGTCTGGCAGTAAACTGGCACCATCCACACAGACACAGAGCCATGGACCTTTGAGCTCATTAACCAATGACAAAACTGACAAAAACAACAGAGAATCACTTTTGTGTTGGTGCAAAGAGAGAGTGCGGAGCTAAGCAGTTCTTCCAAAAAAAATGAACGTGAGCAGAAGTATTTATTTCAGAGAGGTTAAAAACTAAGCTACCTTTTCAAATCCAGTCAAACAAGGCTGCGTGTGCCTGTGTTTGTTTACATATGTAAGATATTTATTCTGGGTTTCTCTTTGAGGAGTTTATTTTATTATATTTATGAACATTTACTGGTGTGCTTGGTCCACGTGAGTGACTCCAGGAGGTGGAGGGTGGTACCAGCTGACCTGGACAGTATGGAAATGGGGAGATGTCTGGGCAAAACACCTCACATTCCCAGGGTGGGGTTTACAGTTTTCTGTCAAGTTAAAAACACATGTAGGAAAATATGGACTGTTTTATTAGTTCTTTTCAAAATAATATATCTGGTATGACTATACACTGTGTTGTTTTTTAAAAGGTAATTGTTTCAAACTAAAAACATCTTGCAAAAAATAATTTGATAGCTTCAGCGTTTAGAATCGTTTATGTTATGCACCTTTAATTCAAACTGCACAGCTTTTTTTTTGCAAAGATAAAAGTCATATTTGTAATAATGTGCAATATTGAACATGGTTTTTAAACTTGAATGGATAAAGAGTAAAGTTCACGTTTGGTCGTTTTGTTTGTATGTCTAGATGAAGTGTGAGTGTTAAACTGTCAAATGCGCCATCGAATTACACGGGCGTTTATTTTGAAAGTCCATACCGGACATGACGGCAGTAAACGGGGCGAGCACCGGGGGACTTCGGCTCCGCTCTGAGAACCAGCACCGGACTGTATGGTGAAGAACCGCTCAGTAACATTACCTTTTTCTGAGGACCGGCTGTATGATTAAGCTACAATCTTCAATGAGTAAGCATATCCCAGTAAGTTACGTTATATGTCTGTCTTTAAAAATAGCTGCCATTTTGTCTGTGTGTGTGGTCCTTCTGCGTTAAATCGCTACGTTATCGTTTCCAGCTGGCCTTTCGGCTAAACCCGTGGTCTCAGCCGGTTTAACCCAGTTTAAAACCTGGGTTACATAGACGCTGTTTAATTGACACCTGTTATAATTACAATAACAGGAAACCGAACTGACATTTGTCACAGACCAACGTTGAAATGTAACAACTCTATATTGGGTGTTTTTTTGTTTCAGGAGGAAGCCGCTGTCAAGATGCGTAGCTTCGTATTGGGTGTTTGTTTTTTTTCAGGATGAAGCCGCTGTCAACATTGGGTGTTTTTTTTTTTTCAGGATGAAGCCGCTGTCAAGATGCGTAGCTTCGCCGGGCTGTTCCCGGCTAATTAGCTCGCATATAAAGGGCGGATTTTAATACGGAACGAGTGAGATCGATACGAGACATTTAGTGTGTAGCTTTTCTCAAAGACGAGCAACCTAACGGTTTAACGAGGCGTCGTGTGTTTCGCCTGTAGAAAATGCAGAGTTTGGTTCACCTCTCAGCCGACAGGCCTCTAAATTTATACGATGGCGCCCTGTTCTTCAACACACAAAGGACAATATACAGAAGCATATGTTGGGCTTTAAACTGCAGCTCGACCGATGTCTGTAGACAACAACGCCGGTGATGTTCATTAAAAAAAATCAGGCCAGGAGAAAATCTGTTCATGAGGCATATTTTTCCTTCTTTTGTCCAGTTTTCCTTTGTCTTCCATAGTAACAAATGACAAACAGTATCGCAATTTCTTTGGCGTAAATCATGATGACAAAGTACTGTCACTGTTGTTGCGGGGGTTTTCATCCGTTCAAACAAATTCTGACACTGTTTAGCGTCAGTTATTATTTTACAAAACACAAATTAATTCTAATATGTTGGATGTCAACGAAAAGCTTTTGTTTGAAAATCTACAGGCCAAATATCTTTTTTTTTATCTTGTCCGACAAATCCCGTAGAGATGTCACGGATGTTCAGTCTGTCCAGTCTACATTTCTGTCTGCAATGTGCAAACATGTGTGAAATAAATAGTAAACATTTAAACATGCAGATGAAAACACGTGCTTCCACTAGAATTTGTATGAATCATAGATTTTAAGCTGACTGTTGAGTTTAAATAAGCTGACATTAAATAACCTTTTCTTGCACACATCCCCATTTTTAATTCATTTTTGTCTCTGTGCTTTTTATATCACCTTCCAGTCTATTGTCCCTCCCTTTTGTCCGCATTGTGGTGTTTTTCTTCTGACATCCTAGTCTTCAGCCAGAACATACTGGATTAATGAAGAAACCTGGAGCAGCTTGGCTCTTTTTTTAAATTTTATTTCAGCTATAGAGGACAAAAACAGGCCCTCATTGATTAGTCATTCCCGAGGGCTGTAAAGAACATGTTGATATTGTATGAGTCAGATTTGTGATGATGCTGATGGTGAGGAGAAAGTGGTGTTGGCGAGCTGAAGTCCCTGTTGAAGGCCTCTCAGTGAGCTCAGCCTTTATGGACATGACCTACATGTCAGAATTGACTAATCTTTTCCGTTGCTGTTCTCTCGGAGCCTTTAGTTTAGCGATACTGTTTACTTAACTTTCAGGCAGGTTCGTTATTCTTCCATTTTCTTTATGTTTTAATTAAGGTTTTATGGAAATCACTGTCTTGTGTACATATAAGTGTGTTGCCCAACAGTTTGTTATTGGTTGTGACAAATAACACAAGTTTAAATGTTGAGATTCATACAATGACAATGAAGGTGGTTAAAGTATTCAAATCAATTTGAATAATTATTTTTAAAAAGTGATACGTTGACCTCTGTGCTATGTTCTGTCCACAAGCCAGAATAATCAGTTTTCTAATGACATTCAGATTGATTAAGTTTAAGGATTTTTTGCAAACTCAAGTAATAGTTTTCTCTGGCAACTTGAACGAATACGTAATTCCAAAATATACTAATATACTTTTTTTTACTTAATTTAGTCTCTAGTAACACTGTTTTGTAAACCCACCCCTAGCAAATGCAGCGTTTGTCCTTACCGTTGCTGCAGCAACGCCTATCCCTTCATCACATGTTTAAGTGCCTTTGATTTAAACACAAAATGATAAAGGGCCATGAAGGTCATAAACAGTGAGTCATACAGAATCAAACCGACTTGATATTGGAGCCACAGTTAAGTACCAGAGGAGGGTGAAGTACATTATGCCATTGCAAAAGGTGAACATATTTGTTATATATCAATAAAAAAAACACTCATTTATAATTTGCAGACCATGTGTCAGTTGACCACGTCTCAAATCCAGGTTTCCGGTCTCTTATAAGTTCAACTGTTTGATAAAGTTAGTACGATGTTAAAACGTACCAAATGTAAAAAAAAAAAGGATTTGCTTTAAGGTTGTTTCTACCAATTGTGATCTTTTACTATTTTGGGAAAATACTGTTCCTGACGGTCTTTATAGAATTCTATCTATTGATTGCTGCTGATGCAGCGGTATGACACATGTACACTAATATAAGAGGAGCCCTTACCAGACGCAGCTGCTGCATCTGTCTGTGCATCGTCTTGTATTCTGAAATTTGGGAGTAAGTTAATATTGAGCTCAATGTCAGATCACCATAATTACAGTGATCAAACTTTGGGCAAACGAGGCAAAACGAAAATAGGTGCAGCAAAGCAAAGCACGCCTCATTGACTGTCGTATTTTAAATCTCTGTATTTTTCTTGTTATTGGTTAAAATAAGTTTTTGGTCCTTGAACCATTTTAACGGGCTGCCTCTTTTGTCTCGCCTCTGTGTCCTGCAGCAGTTCTGTGGTGTTCTGGGTCACACATTTATGGAGTTTCTGAAGGGCAGTGGGGACTACTGCCAGGCTCAGCACGCTGCCTATGCAGACGAGTGAACAGCCAAACTCGCCATCGATCTGAAGCACTTGAGCCACAGGAGGAACCCCATAACGTTGGCAGGACCGGGACGCCTCCCAGAACCAGCGACAACTCGGCCTGGATGGGGTAACTCCACCCGCTGCACACTGCCCTTGTCGGCTTCCGCCTGGCCAGAATCAAGGTGGAACCAGCCTTGTTTTTATTTTCTCCCTTTTCTTTTGTTTTATTCCAAAAGAAAGGGGGTTTGATTTACTTTTCCTCTTCAAGTCCCCAGTTTTCCTCACTTGCCTGTTGCAGTCCTCCTCTTTTTTCTTAAGTTCCTTGTTAAAGCCTTGCCAACTTTGAAGAAGTTCTCCGAAGTTTTTCTTTTTTTTTTTTGGATCCTGTGTTGCTGAAATCTCGTTGGAAGTTTTTTTTTGTGTGTGTTTGACATTCCCTCCGAGTTTAACTGTTTACATTGGTGTTTTCACTCTGTGGAAGACTTTTGGGTTATACGACAAGATTTGTTTTTTTTTACTGTTGTCACGATGGCTCGAATGAACCGACCTGCCCCTGTGGAGATCACCTACAAAAACATGAGGTTCCTCATTACCCACAATCCCACCAATGCCACCCTGAACAAGTTCATTGAGGTGAGCACTAAAAGCCTGTGTTGACATTTTTATTAACTCTGTCTTGTGATGCAAAACAAAACTACTTTTTAATTAATTGAGGAATTATAAAGGACATTTTTTTTTTACATTACTGAGTTAATTATTGATAGAACGTTGTGAGGGATTTAATAAATGTCTGTCTGTAACTTTCTCACACAGTTTTCACTGTCATTTGCAGGAGCTGAAGAAGTATGGAGTTACCACCGTCGTAAGAGTTTGCGAGGCCACCTATGATGCTACCCTGGTGGTGAAAGAGGGAATCCAAGTTCTGGTAAGTTCAAAGTTGACTTGTTTTCTTTGGACTTGATGACAGGTTGTGTTGATAAAATGTGTGCCTTTTCACCACCAATTTCTGCACATGTTGGTTTATTCAGGGATAGATTTAAAAAATACCTGTTCATAAAATAATTAAAAATGAATGCTTATTTCAAGTCTGTTTACCTCATGACT